CAGTGTCGCGATCGAACGCGGAAGGCTCAGCGTCAAGACAGAAGAGGCTCAGCGTCGCGGCGGTGGAAGAGGGTCAGCGTCGCGGTGGAACGCGGAAGGTTCAGTGTGACGCCATCGATGAGAGTTTGAGAGCTGAGACTGAGAGTGGAACGTGAAAAAGGGAGAAGAAAATTAGGAATTTTACAATTATGGACCGGGGACTGACGGTTCCTTAAAAAATAGAACTGGAAACCGAACCTCCCTCTTTAGAATCGAGAATCGAATCCACCGATTCGGTTCTTATATTCTCAATTCTATTCTGAAATCGTGTTCACTCCTGCTAAATGAGATACAGCATGCATAAATTAATAATTATACACTAGCAATCATAAAGCCTCCGAGACAATGTTTGTCAGTTTGCATGAAAGCACCTTTAATGGTGAAGACTGCGTGGAAAGGGTTTCACCCATGTGATGGTGACCCCACAGAAAAAGTGCTTCCATGTACAATCTCCATCATAGTACTGTTCCTTTCCACGGGTTTCATGCTGTTCTAGTCTTCGTTTTGCATTTTTTGATGATGTTGGGTTTTATATGATATAAGCACCAGAAGAAAATTTTGAATTCTCTCCTGTTTTAGTAATAAGCTTACTGGAAAAGGGTAGTACTTGATTTATCAATGATTTCACTTTAAATCTAATGGCGGACCTCTCTCAGGGTCAATACAGTTGGCTAGGGTATAGAAGGAATTCCAGTTCAGGAACTGAAGGTCAAAGTTAGAAGAGCAGCTAGCAAAGCAGATGATATATTGTACACTAAATCAAAATAAACCACTGAAAGCATGGATAGTAAAATCATTGCATTGATTGGAGCAGTAACAAGTAATAACCCATCCATTATGCTCATCAAAATCTACAAATCTTATGCCACAGATCAGGATGTGACCCTCAGATGAGATAGCAAGCTTTTCCTTGAGTATCGTCATTACAGGACTTGATTTATTCGGGTAAAGTCGTGCACGTGTCTCATTGAAGGCTGCGCCGGATGCGATGAGCACTAGCAGTATAATGCTTTTGTAAAAAGAGAAATGTTGGTGTTTAATGACAACTGATCCTGACCAATTTGATGTTGCACAAGTTGATCTCATCGCACCGCTGGTTCTACTAAATTGTTTCTCGAGTTTTAGTCATGTACCGAACTTGACCCATTGGAATATTTTGATTTGTTCAAAATTTGATGCGTCTTCAAGTTTGATCGCGAGAAGCTCTGCCACTAGAAGACAAAATAAAGGGCGCTCTTATTATATAAAATATATATCTCCACGATCAAACAAGTGGGACTCATGTGCCTTTTATGTATGGACGTACAAAAAGAAGCAAGTGGGGCCAAGTGAAAAGAAAGAAAAGTAAAAAATAAAAAAAAGAAAGGCTATACCTTTTCCATCTTCTTCTTTTTTGTAGCCAAACAGCTAAGGATGCTTAGGGTTCCTTGAGTAAAATGCACATGAGCTGCCAGGACAGAAGGAGCCGCTCAAGAAAAGAGAAGGAAGACGTGTGCTTATTACATTTGAAAACCCAAATCATTTCACTGTACATAATTCACTAGCGCTAGCATTTTCGTATATGTTATTTCTATCCATATCTATAACTTTTGCAGGTGTACCGTGTATCTTTCCAAACTGCGCCAGTTTTGCATGACACACCTTTGCTTTTTACATTCTAGTGCAAAAATCACCAAAAATTCTAAATTATGCCCACACATTTACCCTACACTTTTTTTGTGACTCCAAGAATCCTAAATTTATACCTATGTGACATATTTACCTCCGTCAAAATATTGTCAATGAGAACTATTAAAAATTTACCAAAAAGCAAACCATGTTGACATGGCGTCCACATAACTTAAATGAAATAAAAACAATGTTGTTTTGACTGAAAAATAATCTAACAAAACCTTGGCGATAAACGTGACACAAAGGTACAAGTTTAAAATTTTTTATAGCATAAAAAAAACTTTAGGATAAATGTGTCATATTAAATATAGTTTGCAGTTTTATATATTACAAAAAAGAGTTCAAGGTAAATGTGTTATCGTGTACATAGTTTGGAGCTTTTGTGGCTTTTTCCTTGCATTTTATGAGAATGTACCCAATACATACTTCAGGCCTATTTGGTTCAACTTTGAAAATGCTACTTGGGGGAATGCAAATACCTTTGGGTGAAAGCCCATTAGGAAAATGCAAATGGTGTTTGGTAAAAATATTTTATAAAGCTACTTTAGCCAAAATATAGTGTTTGGTGAATTTTTTGCAAATGGACTTTGGGAATAAAAAAACCATACTTACCTTCGTCGGAGCCGGCGCCGGCCGGCCGTCGGCGAGCCAGATCTGGCGCCAGCGGCCGTCACCTGAGGTCGGGCAACCGCCGGCGGGCCAGATCTGGGGCCGGCGGCCGTCGCCCGCGACCGAGCGACCCTCAGCGAGGGTCGCGGGACCCAAGCGGCCGCCTGAGTCGCGCGACCCAAGCGACGGCTGCCTGGGTCCCGTGACCCTCGCCAATGGTCGCCCGGCCTCGGAAGACGACCGCTGGCCTCTTGCCGGCCCGATCCGGCGCCAGCCGCCTCGCCAGCCTCCCTCGCGAAGAAGATGAATAGTACACACGAGGGGCAAAAGTGGGTTTTTTGACAAATTTTGAGGGCAAAAAAGGTAATTAACATATTTTCATTAAATAGGGTACTAGCATTCCGAGAATACTGAAAGCTCAAGGCACCCCCTAAGGTGCCTTGAGCTTTCAGCCTTGAGAAGGCCAACATTTGGCCAAAGAGCTCCAAAAATAATTTGCCAAACACAAAATAATTCCCTCAAAAGGCTTTGGAGGCTCAAAGCTCCTTCACAAAGCCCAACCAAACACCCCCTTCATATTTTACCAAGAGCAGTTCCATTTCTTGTTTCTTAAATTATTAGTTGGGTACAGGTAGATAAAATCCCTACTCCGAAAGGACCAAATTACCCCTCTTATAATCTCCAAGCTCCTCAACTCCCCATGAATCCAAACCTTCACACCCACAACACATTTGTTCGCCACCGCGGTCGACCTTCTCCCCCCTCCCTATCCTCTTCTTCCGATGACGTCACTTGATCTAGACCTAGTGGCCATGGCCACAAAGGTTAGGGGTCGAGGCAAAGATAGAGAGGTGTGATGTCGAGCCAGTGAGAGAAGGTTAAGGGTTAGGAAAGGGAAATAACAAATAGTAAACATGTAGACAAGTTTGCTAAAGTAAGAGTGCAAACGCGTATTTTGAATAAATAATTTAAAAAATATTTTTTCAAAAATAATCGCTTACATCGTTAATAAAAATAAATAAATAATTTTACTGTCCACGAAAATATTTCTTGCATTCTGGGTGGAGTCCAAACTGCAGTTCATGTGCTTGGTTAACACCTGAAATGTATCCCGTCAGAGTAACGCCTCGGCATAATGAGTATTGCATGGTTGAGGTTTATTCTCGTCTTTTTATTTGCATTTTTCATTTTTTTTTCCTTTCCTCTCTCCCTCCCTTCTTCCCCCAGCCCTGACTAATGTAGGTCTGACAATTGCAGAGCCTATTGTGCCACTGCCGCGCTGTTCGGCAATCGTCTCGGCTGTCGCAGCTGTCGTCTCTGGTGATCTTGGCCGCGACTCTCTCTCTCTCTCTCTCTGGAGCTGGGGACCTCCAATACGGAGGTCGACAGCCCACATATATGATGGCCCACCACGATTGCCACGGATCTGTGACCTATGAATGACACAGAGAGGACAAGGGTGGGAATGAGCGAGGTAGAGGGAGAAAGACAGGTAGTTGGGTGGCACGACGCAAACGAGCGTGGTGGGGATTGTCTCGGAGATCATTTGGATTGTGCAGATGGTGGGCAGTGAGTACTGGAGGCAGTGGCGAGCCAAGATGCTGGACTAAGAGGACTGATAGGGGATTTCTCCTAATTTTTCGTGTCCAAATTACAACAAGCCTACTAAGTAAATATTCTCTTATTAGACAACCAGTGCTTGCATCGAAGTACATAAGATCCCTATAGCTTAGTAGTTCTGTCCACCTTTATTGGTACCTGAAGCTGGATTTAGAGAAATTTTACCAACACTGGGTGCTCGTAAATGCCCCCTGCAGGCAATAATAACTCCCAGATCTTGTTGCATTGCGAAAACATAGCGGCGATGGTAAAACGAGAATTTGTAATAGGATGTTGGAGACACGCTTGTTACACCAAACTGCAATACAAATATAACACTCAAACAAAGTATTGTCTCACACAATTATTACAATATAGTTTCTCAAACCGCACACAAAACACTTAAAGCTCACTAGCTTATACAAAGACACACCCGCAACTTTTTGCCCTTGTGGCTTGCTCCTAAACTTCACATAGTACTCTATTTATAGAGTAATTGCAGCCGAATAACTTGAAGTCATGAACCACATGCTTCACGAGTGATTGAGATCTCTGAGAAAGAACAACGCTAGGGAGAGGTTTACAATCGATCTCAAGAGATATTGACAATTCAACAACCAAAATCAATTTTATTATATCTCAACAGATTTCGCGATTTGGATTGAAGGGTGCGCACACAACCGCTCCGCCCACGGCCAATAGAATTTTCAGGAAGTGAAAGCAACAATGTCAGGGTCTTGCTCAAGAAGAACCTACTCCTCTTGGCCTACCATGATCCATGCATCGATTCCACCCTCAGATTTACTATCAATGAGAATAATCTCACGGACAGGAATGCATGCGTTGCTCACCAAGTCCGGCTTCCCCCACCCAAAATCGATGTCATAGAATGGGAAACCACACCAGCTTGTAAAGTTCACCACATTCTCTTCGTCACTGTTAACCCTTTCCTCGTATTCTCGTGCAGATTCCTTCACCATATCCATGCACGACTCTCTGTCCGTTATCGCCGCGAACCTTGTCTTGGCGCTCACGAACATATCGTGGATCATCTTCACAAACGCTTCGAAATCCAGGCTGCTCTAATGCATCGTGTGTCGGGCGTTGACCTTGGTGTAGAAGTTACCGAACGCATTTGTCGGTATTGGTAGATTAACTCTCCCACGCAAGTTCATATTCTGGCAAATGACAAGAGGTCTCAGACGCCCATGTTTAGCTCGATCCAGAGTTACGAATGTCTTACATAACAGTGCGGACATGACCTCCACTCTCGATATCCGCACATTTTTAGGCCCAGCTAGTTTTAATCTCGATAGGGCCGCTCTACTAAATAAGAACCGATTCATGGTGAGTTTTACTCCAGCAAGAAGTGGAGGCATAAGAGTTACCCCCGACCCCTTCACTGGGGATAGAGACGACAGCTCGAAATACGGCGAGGCTACTTCGTGGATTCCACTCCTACACGCGGTAGCCCATGAGTTCATGAATGTCGCCATGGTGCACATGTCACCTAACTTGTGACAAAAGCGCAGGCTGATCACAAGTCCCCCACACTCGAACATGTTCGCTTGAATCACGACTAGGGGATTGCTGGCGGGTCCCATTCGGAACTCGGACAAACGACCGAGCAGGTCTGTGTCAAATTCTCCCTGGAGGAGCTGATCGAGCTGGCCATTCACTTTGGCGTGCACAAATTCTACTCCTTGGTCGATACAGTCAATAAAGAGCCCTTCCTCAACGTACCGACCAGCTAGAGGGTAGAAAATCGCTAGAGTTTTCGAAAGCGACTCCTCCAAAAGGCGAAGCCTTTGGAAAATATCCTCTTCATGGTTTTCGCCATCAGCCCGGTAGTAGAAAAGGAAACCGGGGTACAGTGGATGCAGAAGCTCATCAATGCATGAAATGTTTAGCTTTCAACGGTGGTTCAGCGTCGGAGCTGATGGCTTGATCAGTTTCTTGCTTTGCACTTCGATCTTCATACTTGAATCTCTTCCGGTCACTCCAAGATTCCCCAACAAATTGGAATTGGTGCACTCAAACCTGGTGGGTGAAGATTGGTTATATAGATAAAATTTGTTCAACAACCATTTATGTAACGACCCGGATCCCACTCGCAAGATATTGTCCGCTTCCCAAGCCTTAACTTGCAAGAGGCCTTTTCTGGGGGTAGTATGGGCTGCCTTCGAAGGAACAAAACCGTGAGGACTTTGTGTCCAAAGCGGACAATATCTTACGAGTGGGACCTAGATCGTTACAATTTATTTATAAGAGAACTCCTAGATAATCCAACAAAAATCTAGTCTGTGGGCGGCTGTAAAAGGTTTTGATTAAAAAAAGAAAAAGAGCCACCACGTAAGCTCTTGAAGAGATTTTCTTGTAATTGCAGGCTAATTGGCCGCCTTATGCTGTTGAGTGTGTGACAGTAAAAACCAGAAAAAAGCATACAATGTACAAGCCCTCGTAATGCAGAATCCATTAAGTTGCTACTGGTCCTCCTTTGCTCCATTACTTGTTTTCATTCTCTATCAAACTAATAATACCATGAGATAATTACATATGTAGTCCCTAAATTTTGACCTAATGTGCAATATTATTCCTAAACTTGTAATTTGTTCAACGTGATCCTTGAACTTTAGTCTAATGTATAATGTCGTCCCTGAACCCTTAATTTGTTCGATATAATACCTAAACTTTTGGTAAATGTTTATACTAATCTCTAGACTATATGAAAATATCTAATGTTATCCTTCCATTAATTCAAAATAATAGGATTTATTGATTTAACTTCCAATTCGGTCAGTTTGAAGGGTGGACAAAAAAATAACGTTACATGTAGATTATCCACGAAACAGATTTATAGTTGTCACATGATTCATTGAAATTGAGCCAAATATTGTCAGTTAGAGCAATTATATTCCGATCATGTTAAAATCACGCTTGCCCAACATCATGTCGTGCTTCAACGAGCTAAGTTAGCTTAGCAGCAGTATTGCTCGTACAGTTGTAATCATTGTCCTAAATTGATGAAGCCTTACCAATTATCTCCTTCTTTCAGTTTCAGGGTGACTAAAGATATGTATAGGCCTGCTTGCGGTTTTCGAGGAGGAGCCGAAGTGAAAGGCCCATAATAAAGTTGAAGGTGTTTCCACGTTAGTTAAAAAAGAAGTAAATGATGGCGTTTCCTATGAGAATGAGTCCTTTTAATAGCTAAATTCCAATCGTGTGTTTCTCTGTAGTAGATAAAAGTGAATAAAAGAACTCCATATGATGATGTTTGCATCACACGGAATCACACTTATGCTCATGGGAATTTGTGTTAGCTTGAATATCATGACAAGTGATTCTGACGCATTGTTTATCTAAAAAATCTGCAATGGAGAGAAGTACCACGAATCAGAAGCTTACGCAGATGTTTTGGATCATGTATTTGATACGAGGTTCATTGCCGAAGCTGAGGGGTTTGGCTATTCCGGCAAAGCCACATTTGGCGACGTTGACTGCTTCAACCATGGAGTGTGTAACAGGCACTAACCCAATTGAACTGTGCCAAGTGAATGAATATCGCTTTGTTTTCTGCATTTACTGTTTCTTTACATGATCAGTCACCATCACCAATGTCTATCTCCACGTCCTCTCGTCCATCGCTTATGGACAAACATCTAGTTATCCGTAAGATTGCTTTAATTAGGGTAGTTGTGAGAGACACGGAGTAAATTAGAATATTTGGGGGAGCCGAGACGGCGTTTAATGCAACAACTTTGTCTTCCAGCATAGCATCCTCATAATTGCTTTAATTAGGGTAGTTGTGGGAGACTGAGAGAAAGAGAGAGTAATTGAGGGTAGTTGTGGGAGCTGAGGTATGGCCTTGAATGTGACGAGTACCGCTTCTTGAAATAAATTGTTTTCTGCATTTTACTATTCCTTTACATGATTAGTCACCATCACCAATGTCTATTTCCACGTCCTCTCGTCCATCGCTTTTGGACAAACATCTAGTTATCCGTAAGATTGCTTTAATTAGGGTTGTTGTGAGAGACACGGAGTAAACTAGAATACTTGGTGGAGCCGATACCGCGTTTAATGCAACAACTTTCTCTTCCAACATCCTTATAATGGGGCCTAATTTCCTAAAAAAATTTCAAGTTTAGATCGATTCCCAAATTTGCTCTCAACTTTTTTTTATTTCAAAAAAAATCACAAACTTTAGGTGCAGTCCTTACCCCAAACCTTTTTTTGTCTCAGAAAAAACCCTAAACTTTAAATATAATCCCAAATCTGCCTCGAATTTTATTTTGTATAAAAAATTCTCCAAAATTCAATTTATTTTTAAAAATATACTCTCTATGATCCAGTCTCAACTTGACGTAGCACTTCCACGTCAATAATAGATCCACATCAACAAAATAATGGTGCTTTTTTTTAGACAAAGAAAAGTTCGGAGTAAATTTGGACTGAATCTAAAAATTAGGTTTTTTTTAATTAATTTTTTTGGGTGGATTTATTAGCGTTCCTAACTTTTATATCCTAAAACGGTTTTATTTTGGAGAATTTCAACAATTTTTATTGGGTTGGATTTGTTATTGCTGTGGAAATGCGACGTCGGTCTATACCTATCGCCCCATTACTTTGTTGATGTGGCTTTGTTATCGACGTGGAAGTGTCACGTCAAGTTGGGACTGGATCACGAGGGTATATTTTTTAAAATAAATTGAGTTTTGGAGATTTTTTTTACACAAAACAAAATTCTAGGTAGATTTGGGACTTGACTTAAAATTTGGAGTTTTTTGTGAAACAAAAAAAAGTTTGGGGTAGATTTGGAACTGGACCTAAAGTTTGGGATATTTTCAAAGATAAAAAAAAGTTGGGGACAGATTTAGGACTTGACCTAAAGTTATGGATTTTTTAGGGAATTCACCCCTCATAAATGTATGACAATTGATCGGGTGCCCTCACTTGCCTGGCCTCTTTCCTTTTACTGTCGAGAAACATTGCTTTCCCACTTCACCCGTCCTGAGACAATGATCAATTAAGCAAAGAGTCGCCAATTATTAAGCTAAAATTGACAACTCTCTTGATGAGGCCCAAATGAACAAGCTTTCCCTTCGCTTCAATGGCCAATTATTAAGCCGAAAGTCACAACTCTCGAGGTACTTTGGTATTATTGCTGGGAAAATTGCACAATCGGTATTCATCATATTGTACAGTATAATCGAGTCTTCAATTTTTCAATTGAATCAATTTAGTCTTGACTCTTTGAGAAAGTGTAATCAAGTCCTCATGGCCGGCGCTGACATTGACGATATTTGTAATTTTTAAAAATTTTCATTTTTTCCTTTTCTTTCTTTTTTTCTTTTCCTTTTTTTTTTCCTATTTTCCTCCACCATTCGCAAGGGCCTCAATGATGACCAGCGGAGGTCGCCGAACGCAACGTCCAACTGCCCTTGCTCGATTTGGGCGAGGGCCTACAAGCCCTCGTAGTGGCTAATAAGGGCATCACAACCGTCGCGACCTCCACCAACCATCTCAAGGGCTTGGTGACTAAAAGAGGGAAAAAGGGAAAAAATATTTGAAAAAATCATAATTTTTTTTAAAAAAAATATTGTAAAAATCATCTACGTCAGTACTGGTATCCATGTTAGTGATTTTTGAACAACTACATTGACAAATTGTCAAAATATTTAGGTCTAAATTTGTCTGAATTGAAAAGTTTAGGATTGAATTGGCGACAATACAATGGGTTTAAGACTTTTTAAATAATTTTCCCTAGAGGAATGGCTAATAAAGAAAGTTCCGGTCATGGATTAAGTCTGGCCCAGTGACAAATAAAGTAGAATGCCGGCAACAAACTAGGGGATGTCTCCATCCCGTTTAACAAGAAGTTCACGGTCCTTTTAGCAAGGCTAAATTCGAGGAAAAGTTTAGGCCAATGTCCCTCCTTTGACTCAACCAATTTCTTTAGGTATTAAGCTTAAGTTTAGGATTGTGTAGTTTCGGTTTATCTTCCTCGTCCCTTTCACAAGTTATGTGGTCTCCATTTATGTTGGTCTCGGGTCCTTACTCCTATCGCGTGATGTGAAGGCCAACGAGCATGTGAAATTCCTCTTAACCTAGGGCCATTTGGTAAGAAATTTAAATACATCAGCCCGCTCATAATATGATCACGTGACAAATAATCGGGACTTTTGAGCTATTAAGGTTAACAACGTGCTATTTGTATTTAGACGACCTGCCTATTGTCACTTCATCGACCGAATCATCAGTAACGAAAAACAATCTTATTTCTTGCACATCGAATAACGACTTAGATACGCGTTAACCATGATACGGGCTCCATCATATTCGCACTTTCCGTAACGATACAACGGTGATTCATGAGATAAATTTATCTTATGAAGCAACTCTATCGCTCGAGTATTAGAGATTAAGTTCAAATTGCCTTTTTTTTGTTTTAACAAAATGATGGGCATGACAAGAGATGGAATTAACTTCACACGGAGGAAAATTGTAATCATCAACTTCGATTGCTTGCTAATAGGCATGTAGCCTTGCTAGTAAAAGGATTGGGGGGAGGGACGTTAGTATTATAGATGCGAGATTTGACTCCCGCACTCTGCAAGAAGACAGAGCAAAAGTCAGAGAGAGAGAGGGGAGAGTTAGAGATGGGGCAGATAAAAAGAAAAAACTCCGATTGCTTTGTAGAAATCGAATTGCTTTGTCTTCATTTTGTTTAACGAAGTCAAAGCAACGCCAAAGACAAAAGCAACCGTCCGCTTCCTAAGAATTATAAGACAGACTCGTCCGACCGATTTGACGGATGTTTATTTCTGTGGTAAGAAGCTAAAGATTTTGAAATTCCATTAAAAATCAAAAAATAAAAAGGGTTGATCGGCAAACTTGATTGGCTACTGTGGAAAATCTATAAAATGGCAACCCAAAGGCCACGGCAAGTCGTCTTCATATAATAGCTTTGCCATTTGAAACAATTCGATTTGGCCTTTTCTCTCTTACAATATCTTTAGACCGCGCGACTCCGAAGAGATTCGCTTCCGAACTGAGGAACAAAGGAGAAGATGCAGGGAGGTTGGGAGGATGCAGATATTAAGGAGAACAGCATTAAGATCAATGGCCTCGCTTGTTTTGCCATTGATGAGCACAACAAGGAGGTACTCGGAATTTCTCTTTCCTTTTGTCTCTCCTTTCTTTTTTTAGGATAATGACACAAATTATCCCTGAAATTTGGCCCAATGCGCAATATGATCTCTGAGCCTTAGCCTAATATTCAATGTGGTCTCTGGATTTTTAGTACATGTTCAATATAATTCCTGAACCATACGAAAATGTTCAATGCAGTACTTCCATTAATTTAAGATCAGGGACAATATTGAACGTTTTCATATAATCTAAGAACTAAATTGAACATGTATCAAAAGTTTTGGGACTACATTGCACATCGAGCTAAAGTTCATGGACCATTTATGCCATTTTCCCTTTTTCTTTCAATTTGATTTGGTTTTGATGGGTGATTGGAATTTGATGAAACTTTCATGGTTTTGATGGTTTGCTGCTGGAATGATTACTGTGGTTGCCCTAATTATAAGTGATGCTCGTGAAAACAAGGAAATTTGGGATGTGGGTGTAGTTAATCTGGTCATCTATGCTCGAAATTGATCGTAATCACGTTCGGTTGAAGCAGATGATCACAGTGTCAAGGGCGGTCTGCATGCATTTGCCAGGATTTGTGGGGGCGGAAGTTTCAGTTACCATGTCATCAGGATAAAGGAAATCTTAGTATATGATCGATCAATTTATTGGATTGAGATTTGAGTCTTTCAAAGGAGGAAAAACAGTTTTTGATCTGCAGTTTCTTGGACATGAAAAAGCGAGCTTGAAGTAGCAGAAAGTCATGTTTATTTATACTGTTCCCATTTGTTTTTGGTTCAAATGTTTGTCAATAATGTGCTGATGGTGTTGTTGGGGGACCAGAATGCGAAGCTGCAGTGTGAAGGTGGATAAAGCGAGAATGCAGGTGGTTGAGGGTTTTATGTACGATATCACCTTTGAAGCAACCGATGGTGGTGTCAAGAAGGTATACGAAGCTATGGTTTGGGTGAAGCCGGGGAAGGATCACTACGAGCTCAAGGAATTTAAGCTCATCGGTGATGCCCCTGCCAAAGCTAGCGCAAAGCTTCCGGGTAATCATTTCTAGAAATAGAAAATCCTTGCTTGATCTTGATGAGCATCATGTTTAAAGCTTACTCACTGCATCTGGAATTGGATATCTTTCATTCGCATCTTTTGTGGCGGTCACACTTAATCTCACCCAAGATACATTCTCGTGGAGCTCCAAACTTCGAAGGTTGCTTCTCGTCGGACCGATCTAATCCTAAGATTCATTGCCTAGGATGGAATATCAGCGTTAACTTGAAAACTAGACAACAACATGCGGGGGTGACGTGTTTTGTCTAAGTCGTTTGTTTATACATGTGATAGGAGTTCTCACAAAGCACTTCTCTGTCATGGAGATTCTTTGCTCAGTTCAATCTGTAGTCTCAGTGCTCAAGGCTTGCCAATTTGTTTTTTGCACTAAAAGATTAATTGCACTCAGTGTCCAGGACCAGTATACAGTCACTTTCTGCATTGTTGATAGATTATTGCCCTATTGGTTGAATGTTTGAATTTAGATGGTATTGTTCTCCATAGAGCTCACTGAATATTTGATTGCCATGCTTAGTAGAAGAATCGAGCTTCTTGATTTGGTTTTTGTAGCTTTATTTGATTGTACCTTAACGAGCTAAAATTAGGATATAATAATCCATATCATCAAATAACGTGGATAATCACTTTTTAATTTAAACAAATTAAAAGGATTATTATATTCTAATTTGAGTTGAATATCTCATATGAATAATTCGTATGTAATGTTTACTTTTTATTGACATACCGAACTGGAAGTCAAATCAGCAAATTCCATTAACTTAAATTAATAGAAGGACAACATTTAATATTTTCATATAATCCAGTGACTAAATTGAATATATACCAAATTTTAAAGACCAAATTGAATAAATTAAAAGTTTATGAACGACATTGCACATTGGGTTAAAATTCAAAGATCACAATGAATAAGTTAAAACATGACTGTAGATCATGTTAATGCATTTGGATTCACAGAAGTATCATTTTCCTACCTAAATGGTAGGGGTGAGCGGTTCCCAGTTCCTTACAGGTTCCGCCTGGAACCTAAAACCTACCCTCGGGTACAGGTTCCTTATTTTTTGGAACCTAAAACCTACCCATCAAAATGTGGAACCTGGAACCTACCCTGTCACAGGTTCCAGGGTCGGTTCCAGGTTCTAACAGGTTCTTTTTTTTTCTTGTTTCATTTTTAGTTATACAAAACGAAAGACTAGTTATTGGACAAACCACGAAGATTGTAAAGGTCTAAAGAATAAAGAGTGGCCTGTTACATAATGGATTTGTTTATCATTTGCAACTAAGGATGAAGACTCTCATCAAAATCAAGATGGATCTCACAAAAAAGGAACATGACATCATTTGTGGTATATGTAAAAAATGCCAATAATAACAGCCATATATGTTGACATATATGTTGAGCAAGATTGAAAATGATGCCCTGAGATAGATGTCATCATCCGCTTTAACATAGAAATCAGCATCAAAAAGTGCATAGGCGGTTTTGAAGAAAGCTAACCTGCAATTTAAAGCGGATCAAAGAGAGAGAGAAGGGTGCTCACGTTTTGTAGGGGAGTTTGCTGTACTCCTCTTCTATATCCAACAGTAAGAGGTCATCATATTGTGCCACTTCCCTTTTCAATTCCATCATCTTCGCCCCATCATTAGTCCTACCAATGACAAATCTAAAAACTAATCCAGTGTCTTCCTCCAAGCTACAATTTAGTCCATATACTCACAATCAAATCAGATTTTTCACATATACCACAGATGATAAAGCATAAATGAGCCGAGATCAATTACCACAACCATATCCGTAGTGATAACAATTCCTAAATATTCTACATTAAAGCCATCGGAGAAAGACCGAACGAGATAAATTCTTGACAGTAGCAAGTTTCCCGTTGACATAAGCTATATTCATGATTTCAAGTCTGCTTGCATTGACCCCAACTGGATCTGAAAAGATCACCCTTTCCCCCATAATCACATCCCAAACCTACCCATAAGAAATTTCTCAACAAAAGAAGCAGACACAACACAAGGACAAAATCACATAACCCATATTCCCCTCCAAGCTCCTCTAGACTAGAAAAGATGTCAATTTCTCTACCAAATCCATAAGTAGGGGAGAATTGAGTAGTATTCAGATTTTCCTTGGAAATATTGTTCAGACTAGGGTGGCACAGACAAAGCTATCCCCTAATTGGAAAATACATATGCCCTTTTACCCATTCGGATGAATTGATTTTGTGTGGCAGTGTTGAGTTTTTGACTTGTTAGATCGTGAATCACTAGGAAAGAGGCGAATAGAGTCAAAATTTACGCTCTGTTTTTTCACTTGATTAATTTATATAAGTCAGAGTTCACGCTCTGTTTTTCCCACTTCCATTCACTTAAAACCAAAACCAACTCCTACAGGCTGCCGCCACAAGTCAAAAAGTAAGGAAAAATAGATAGAAATGCTTTATCTATACTATAAGACCAATTCAGAAAAATTAGTTCAAAGCAAAGAGACCTGGCCATGGCTATATCTATACCCATTCAGATGCCCTTTTGCCCCAAACGAAAAATCAACTCAGCCATTACAACAATTTTAGCAAACAAACAAGCAGGAACAAAACTCCAACTTCAAAGTGCTCTAACAACCGCACGAGCCAAATTGACAGAAACCCTAGAGTCGTCAACAACGCAACACCAAATCGGCCACTGCCGTCACCTCATCTACAAAAATGAACCAGAAGGAGGCGAAGAAGAAATTTTGGTTACCTAATTCTTGAATGTAGCAGAAGATGAGGTAAGCGAAGTGATGAAAGGGGCTCAGCGTCGCAACAGCGGAAGGGGTTCAGTGTCGCGGCAAAACGCGGAAGGCTCAGCGTCGCGATGGAACGCGGAAGGCTCAGCGTCGCAACGGAAGAGGCTCAGCGCCGCGGCGGTGGAAGAAGCTCAGCGTCGCGGTGGAACGCGGAAGATTCAGTGTGACGCCGTCGATGAGAGTTTGAGAGCTGAGACTGAGAGTGGAACATGGAAAGTGAGAAGAAAATTAGGAATTTTACAATTATGGTACCTGGTTTCGGTTCCCGTACCGGGAACCGAACCGAGGACCAACGGTTCCTTAAAAAATAGAAGCGGAAACCGGAACCTCCCTATTTAGAATCGAGAATCAAACCCACCGATCCGGCCCTTTCGTTTTCAATTCTACTCTGAAATCGTGTTCACTCCTGCTAAATGGGATACCGCATGCATAAATTAATAATTATACACCAGCAATCATAAAGCCTCCGAGACAATGTTTGTCAGTTTGCATGAAAGCACCTTTAATGGTGAAGACTGCGTGGAAAGGGTTTCACCCATGTGATGGTGACCCCACAGAAAAAGTACTTCCATGTACAATCTCCATCATAGTACTGTTCCTTTCCACGGGTTTCATGCTGTTCTAGTCTTCGTTTTGCATTTTTTGATGATGTTGGGTTTTATATGATATAAGCACCAGAAGAAAATTTTGAATTCTCTCCTGTTTTAGTAATAAGCTTAATGGAAAGGGGTATTGTATAAAGAATCTAATGCACGCCAGAAGAGGAGGTGTAGAAGGTCTCACCTTTCACGAAACCAGGCATATATATAACATCACTATCGCACAACAATCACCGGGGCCTGATCAATGTGAACCCCTTTGTGAATGCTCGGATTCGCGGAAGGTGACAGTGTTTAGATTTCCCGCTTTTGGCATGCCTTAGGTCTCTGTACATCACCTATTCCCTCAAGCATGTAAGCTCAGACACTGTTATGACTTATGTGGAAATTACAACGAAATTAAAACTGAGAATAATAAATAAAAAAAACACACAAATTTACATAGAAAATCCTCGCGGGAAAAACCATGGGAAGAAGAGAAGCCAAATCCACTATGGAAATTCAAGGATTACAAAAAGTGGCTCAAAAAAACTTAAGACTCTTTCTGTTTCTCCTTTTTTTTAAAACCTAATAACTTAAGAAAAAACAATCATAAGAAATTTTTGAATGCTCTCCAATTTTAGTAATAAGTTTAATGGAAAGAGGTATTGTATAGAGAAACCTAATGCATGCCAAAAGAGATGTAGAACGTCTCACCTTCTGTGAAACCAGGCATATATATAACACCACTTGTGTACAACAATCATCGGGGCCTGGTCACTGCAACCCCCCTTGTGAATGCCTAGTTCTATGAAAGGTGACGACGTTTAGAATTCCCACTTTTGGCATGTCTTAGGTCTCCACACATCACCTATTCCCTCAAGCCTGAAGCTCAGATACTATTATGACTTATACGGAAACTACAAAGAAATTAAAACTGAGAAAAATAAAAAAAAACAAATAGATTTACATGGAAACTTGTGGAAAAACCAAATAGAGAGGAGAAGCCAAATCCACTATTGAAATTCAAGAATCACAAAAGGTGGCTCGAAAAAACCTAAGACTCTTTTCGACTCATGTTTTAGTAATAAGCGTAATGGAACAAGGTATTGTATAAAGAAACCTAATGCACGCCAAAATAGGAGGCGTAGAAGGTCTCACCTTGCGTGAAACCAGGCATATTTATAACACCACTTGTGTACAACAATCACCGAGGCCTGGTCACTACAACCCCCTTTGTGAATGCCTGGTTCCGCATAAGGTGATGGTGTTTAGATTTCCCGCTTTTGGCATGCCTTAGGTTTGCACATCACCTATTCCCTATAGTCTATCAACTTAAATACTATTATGACTTATGCGGAAACTACAACGAAATTAAAAGTGAAAAGAAAAAAACACAAACACAAATATGCATGGAAAACCCTTGCAGGGAAAACCATGGGGAGAGGAAAAACCAAATCTACTATGGAAATTCAAGGATTACAAAAGGTGACTCGAAAAAACCTAAAACTCTTTCTATCTCTCCTTTTTTGTAAAACCTAATAACTTAAGAAAAAATAATATTTATATTACTTCATACCACTAGTTCGGGTATCAAAACTCAATTTGGGTCAAATACCCGAAACATAATTCAAGACAAACTCAACAAATGTTGGGAGCGTGGGACAGAAGCCTGATACCTTTTGCATGGAGAGATCGCCAAGAGAAAACTCAAGTCCAAACCCCTCAACATATTCGATTATATCCACATTTACTCAAAAGCTTAAACCAATGAGTTATAAGATAACTAAGATATATTAATAGTTTTACACCACACAAATTATCCGATGTGAAAATTCTCTAACACAATTCACACTTGCCTCCTAATAACAAATATCAAGAACAGAAACACGATGACAATTATAAGATCATGATGAAGTAACTACTAGATTAGATAAAAATAATTTTTCTATTAGCAGTAGTACTTGATTTATCAATGATTTCACTTTAAATCTAATGGTGGCCCACTCTCAGGGTCATTACAGTTGGCTAGGGTATCGAAGGAATTCCAGTTCAGGAACTGAAGGTCAAAGTTAGAAGAGCAGCTAGCAAAGCAGATGATATATTGTACA